GGGGGTGAAGTGATCAGATTTACTTGTGCCTGTGTGGCTATTGGAAATGTGTTGCATTATATATTAATAGGTATTAATGATGCAATTTGTATTCATAGAAGCTGCACACACACACACACACACACACAAATCCTGTAGAAAAACTTTTTTTTTCTCTGTGACCTAATTTTGATGAAAAATATAGAACTGGCAACCCTGGAGTTGAACTTGATGGCAACCATGCATGTTGCTGCGCAGTGTGGTAGCAAAAAACAAACAAAAAAAACCCAATAATAATAATAATATATATATGAGTAAATATAAAAAATATAGTAAAAATTATAAAGTATATGTTTTTAAAGAACTGGATCATACGTAGTTAGAAACTAGTTACGAAATTAAGAAGAAAAGAAATACAATTGGTCAGAAAGAAGTAGCAAATAAACACTTAGTATTCCATGTCGGCTCAGACATTTAACTCACTCTTATTTGTTTACGGTAATTAAGCTTAAGCCTGAAATTAATGTCCTGGTGATTTACTTCAGTGGCAAAAAAAAAAAAAAAATCACCGTAAAAACCAAATGACAGTAATTACAATTCTGCTGCCAGCAGTATTAATTCTCTGCTGTCTTTAAATAAAACATATTGGAATGATTCCTTATGGAGACGGAGATAAAGTTCTGTTGTTGTTGTTGTTGTTGTTGTTGTTGTTGTTGTTGTTATAAACACTGGACCCTTTGACGGAAGACCTGGTTTGAAACTTTTGAAAAATCATTGATATAGTATTAAATATTATGTGTGAGTTATGGCTCACTGAGCTTCGAGGAAAAGATTTGCATGTTGGCAAAAGACAGTGGTGTGTGTGTGTGTGTGTGTGTGTGTGTGTGTGTGTGTGTGTTAGTGCGAAGGCTGAGATAGACCTGAGACATCCATTCAAGCTTCTTTCAAATCTCCTGCAGTTTCTCTTCTAAACAGTGAAAAGGCAAAAGAAGGGAGAAGGGAGAGAGAGAGCGAGAGAGAAACACAGAGAGAGAGAGAGAGAAACACGGAGAGAGAGAGGGAGAAACAGTGAGGGAGGGTGAGAGAGAAGATCACAGAAAGGGAGTGAGAGAGAATGAGTAAGTGAGGGAGAGAGAGAGAGAGAGGGAGGGACCCTCTATTTTTAGCCTGTGTGTTTGTGGAGGACGAGGACCAACACACTCTCTTCGTATGATTTCCATTTTCTCCCCCCGGCTTCACACACTCCGACACTGAAACATAAAATCTGTGCTGTCCATTATTGTCAGTGTGTGTGTGTGTGTGTGTGTGTGTGGGCTGAGCTGGTCGTTACATGGAGGAACGATGGCTGTTTGAGAGGGAACGTTAGTCCACCTGTCACACAGGTGTGTGTGTGTGTGTGTGTGTGTGTGACAGCACGACACTGCACTCACAACTGTCACTCAAACTGTGGTTGAACGATGTTTAAAGTATTTAAATCAACCATCAAGAAGTCTCTCTCTCTCTTTTTTTTTCTTCCATATGAGCCTGAGGCCAAAGAGAAAAACGTGTCGTATATGAGCCTGAGGCCAAAGAGAAAAACATGTCGTTTTCTTATCACTTCTTATACTTCACAAAACTGCAGTACAACAGTGGCTTTAGATCAGACGACACTTTTCACCTGCGGCAAATGTTTTCAACACAAAGAAACGAAAGTCTTCGAGTTCTTCTCTGGAGCAGGGGTCTCCGGCTGTTTTTGACCTCTGACCCCATTTTGACATGTCAAATTTCCGGTGCCCTCAGCGACATGTTAGTAACTGTCACTTGTGCAGTCACATGATCGTGGCCGTCAATCAAGATTCGCCAGCTCAGATATTTTTATCTGCAGCACTTTTATTTGAACTCAATTTATATCCATTAAAATGAAAGAAAAAGTTTTTTTTTTATATATAAATTCTGAATTCCGGGTGAACCCATGTGGGGTTGCGACCCCAAAGTTGATTAACACAATGAAGTATTTGTCTCATATTGTACTCATTTTTTTAAAAATGTATTTAAAGGCCTCCAATAACTCCGTCTCTTTAAGAACTTTTGTCTGAAGGATGAATGACGTGGGACTTGGCTGACAGAGGAAATTCAAAAGTTTTGGGTCTTAACCCAGAAAAAGTCAGGTATATATTTTCGCTGGAACTTACTGGGAACTTCGCCGTCTGAAGTCAACAGCGAGGAGAGATGTGTCTGAATATTTCATGCTGCCCTGCTAACATACATAGATGTATGTTCCACCGAGAATTCCTGTTTCAACCTGCTGTTTCTTTAATAGAGTGGCAAACTAGAAGCCAAAGTTATTTCCGTAACCTGTGGTGGTGGACCTATAAATAGAATGTGCACACACACATTTTATATATATGTGTGTATATATATATTTACACACATGTGTATATGTATAAATATATATATACACACATATATACATATATATACAGTATATATATATATACATATATACATATAGTATATATATATATATATATTTAATATGCCTAATCTGACTCAAACAAATATGAATCCTAACATTTGACTACATTTTAAACCTCTCTCAGTAGGTACCTGCAAAATGTCCCCACATGTATAGTTATACCAGTAACGCACACACACACACACAGAATACATTATTTCTTCTTGCACCTCAGTGTGTAGTCGTGTCTTTGACGTGCAGGTTTTCTTTCACTCTCTGAATATTTCATTAAAAGTCTGCAGACGTGCACAGATACAAGACTCCACACACCTCTTCACTTTTCTGTGACTCACTGTGCCCTAAAATCGTGGTCCACTGTACAGACGACAGACGGTTTGGGGCTCTTTTTTACACCTCAATATTTGTATTGTCTCATGACTCTCTCTCTCTCTCTCTCTCTCGTCCTGCAGCGTCGGACAACAGTCAGCGGTATCAGGAGACGTGCTTCGCCTTCGCATTAACGCCACAGCAAGTCCAGCAGATCAGCAGCTCCATGTAAGACCGCTCTGTCCGTGCAGCGTTCACTGAGTCCAGCAGTTCTTTGAGATGTTTACTGATTACTGATCACCTCGTGTCTGTCCTCACAGGGACATCTCGGGGACCAAATGTGACTTTTCAGTTCAAGTCCAGCTACGGTTTTGCCTGTCGGAGACGAGCTGTCCTCAGGAAGACCATTTTCCACCTAATCTGTGTGTGAAGGTCAACGGGAAACCGTGCAACTTACCGGTGAGCAGCACAGAGGAAATCTTTAAAAAAATAAAATTAAAAAACCCTCCTAAATGTCAGTCGTTTTAATCCTGACGTCACTAAAATGATCATTTGTATATATTTTATTTTTCCAGGGTTATCTTCCTCCAACCAAAAACGGTGTGGAACCCAAACGTCCCAGCAGACCCATCAACATTACCTCACTGGTCAGGTTGTCCACCACTGTTCCCAACACCATTGTGGTGTCATGGACAGCTGAGATTGGAAGGGTGAGAACTGTGAGAACCTTCATAGTTTTATTTTTTTATTTTTTTTATTTTTATGGTCTGTATTGTTATTGTACCACGAGGATACAACAAAACTGAGCCTCTGCTTTTAACCCTTCACCAAATTAACGTAGAATTGCGATGTTTGTTTCACTTTTAGCGCCATCTATTTGTTATATTTCACACATGTAACCTCTAGGATTTTCATAAACAAATGTTAACCCAGAAATGTTGTTCTTTAAGAAAATACAGATTCACTGTCAGTAGGTAAATCACTTTCCCGTGTGTCCTGGAAAACCTAAAAAATAATTGATCAAATTTCCAGTCGTGGAAAAACATTTGGAAAATGAAAAAAAATGGAGAACATTGTCTCCTCCCTGCTGTTCACCTGTAAACATGTCTGTCTTCAATGAAACAACACGTCTCTGCTCTGAGCTGACCCAGCGCACCATGTGACGCCTCCAGCCAATGGAATTTGGTTTCTAGATTTTTGACTTTTCAGAACTTGTTCAGGACTTACTGCAAAAGATAAATTCAGCCACAGCCCATTTGAAATATAAACAAACATATCAAACATATTTCTCTGCTGCTGCTCTCTGTGTGACAGAAGCTGAGTCTGGTTTGAAGACTGTGTTTCTGTGTGGAGTGTGAAGCTGGAGCATCTGCTGCTTTCAATCAGCCGTCTGACTCAGGAGCTTTAGTGTTGTTGAAATTTGGCACCGATCGATTCGTTCAGAAGGAGACCACCAGTAGACACGGTCACTATGTTCAGGACTATTACTGTATAACGACCGTAACCGTAAGTAAACGGAGGCAGTGAAAAACAGCAGAGCGGCTGCACAAACTGCTGTGATGTTTCTGTCTTATTGAGTCAGCATGTGTCCAAACATGTCCATATAAATCTGAAGGAAATTTCCACTGCTGAAGTCAAACAGAAAAACACTCAACAGGTGAACCTGGTAATGGAGATTGGGGATTTGTGCTCAGATGTAAAGTCACAGACTGGTTCCTTTGATTACACACACATTTTTGTCATGGATTTTCCTGCTTGTCTCTGCAGAGTTACTCCATGGCGGTGTACTTGGTTCGACAGCAGTCGTCCACGGTCTTGTTGCAGAGACTGCGAGCAAAGGGCATCAGAAACCCAGACCACTCCAGAGCACTCAGTAAGAACCGCTCACAACACTATTGGATCAGATTAGATTAGTCTAGAAATGACCCTATTTTCTGGACTATATGTTACACTAGGTTTGCGACTTATACTCAGGTGCGACTTATACATTAAAATATATCATTTTACATATTTGATATTTTCACACTGACAATCGCTAGAGGGTGCTGGAGTGCGATTTATACTCGGAGTCCAGAAGAATAAGGTAGATTAGATAAGATTAGATCAGGTGAGGTCAGGGTAGATAAGATTGGAATAGACTGGACTAGACTAGAAAAATCTAGATCAGAGAGAATTAGGTCAGGATATGTCAGATTAGATTAGATTAGGCTAAACTAAACAAGAATGAACAGAATAGATTAGAGAGGATTAGGTCAGGATTAGATTGGAATAGACCTGAGTAAACTAGATCAGATTACATCTGATCAGTTCAGATGGGATTAGATCAGATTAGACTACACTAGACTAGACCAGACTAGAGTTAAACAAACTGGGTTAGGATTAGATTAGAGATTTGATTTAGTTGACATCCACTAAAAGCCAGTCTATCTGTTCTGTGGACTATTGAATATATAGAATTATAAATTCACTGCTTTCCAAAGCAAGAAATGACGAGGGTGGTGATGCAGAAACAAAATCCAGGAGCCACTGGAAACACTTGTCCTGTAAAAGTATTGTTGGATCACAGTATTTATTTTCTAATTTGCCTTGATGGAAAATGATGTGAGAGGATCACAGACAGGACTGTGAACCACATAGACTAGACCAGACTAGAGTTAAACAAGACAGGACTGTGAACCACGGGATGAGAACCTTCATTCATGAACATATGTAGTGAAAGATGTGCAGCAGTGAAACAATCTGAGCGAGTCACGCTGCTGTGCCTGTCACTCACGTGTGTGTGTGTGTGTTTGTCTTCACTCCTCAGTCAAGGAGAAGCTGACAGCAGACCCAGACAGTGAAATAGCCACGACCAGCCTGAGGGTGTCACTGCTCTGCCCGGTAAACATGACTCTGTTTGAAACATTCTGACAAGTACAAACACGTCTCTTCACTCTTTGGAGTTTTTTTTTTTTTTTACATGTTTGTGACTCAACATGTCTTGATGTGCAGAACTCCTCCCCGAATGAATGATGAGTGACACAATCTTAACAGTCTGTTTCCTGGACCCCTATCCAGTGTCTTGTGCATGCGGGGGTTTGCGTGTTTCTCATCCTGTAATCCCTCCTTAATCCCTGTTGTGTCGTCTTCATGTCCTGACATCTTGAGGTTTTTTTTTTTATTTTTTCTTCCGTGCAGCTGGGGAAGATGCGACTGATGATCCCATGCCGGGCACTGACATGCTCCCACCTGCAGTGCTTTGATGCCACACTATACATCCAGATGAACGAGAAGAAACCCACCTGGGTCTGTCCTGTCTGTGACAAGAAGGCCCCGTATGAACACCTCATTATAGACGGGTGAGGCCCCGCAGTCAGATGTGCACGTCTGTAGTTTACCAGGGAAATAAAAACTTTTTAAAACTTTTTAAAAATCCAAAAAACAATGTTGATATTTTATTAGTAGATCTCAATATACGATGTATATCTTTTTTTTTTTTTTTTCCATATGAAATAATAGGCATTGCTCTGTGTATTTCATTGGTCGGTATCAGAGTACTTTGGAATCTACTACAAATAAGTAGTGATTTTTAAGGATCTGTGTTAAATAGAACTGGTTATAACAGGCCTGGCCAAACTAAGGTTCGTGGGCCACATACGGCCCGCCGGGCTTTCTAATCCGGTCCACTTAACACTGGTACACCGTACGGTAAAGACTGATGTCGATCCTGCTGTTTTTAATGCATTACAATAAAACAACTGTAATTCCTGTGGGTGCCACTAAATGGCAGTAGACATCAAATGTGTCAAATTTTGAACTCATTTTGGCCAGTGAGCCAAAGGTTTGACCACCCCTGGGTTACAATCAAATTTCCATTGTCAGCAGTTTGACCAGGATCTTTAGATCCATTACAGCATTTTTATCAATTTTATGGTTGAGATTTTTTGGCCTAATTGCCATACATCTTAGGTCCTCTAGGGTAACGATAGTCCCATCTTGTTTTCATCGTTAATTGAAGGGTAACGATAGTCCCATCTTGTTTTCATTGTTAATTGAAGTATTTCTGTCAACCATAAAAAAAAATCCATTTCCTCTGAACTGTAGCCCTTGTTTACACAAAAGTAGAACTAAATAAAGTAAAAAAAAGCAAGAATTACGTTCGCGATTGAACGACACCAAGGACGACGCGAGGGTTAAATGTGATTATTCACACTCTTTGATGATGTTGCACTGACAAAGACACTGACGCCCCCACGTCAACAGACAAATGTACGATATTACAGTGATGTTACGTTTAATGGATTTGTTTGATCCTTCATTTACGACGTTTTCTACGGTTAATGATATATTTTTTTCCTCCTTTTTTCCCCCCAGTCTCTTTGTTGAGATCCTTAACAGCTGCATGGACTGTGATGAGATCCAGTTTAAAGAGGATGGCAACTGGGCCCCCATGAGGTCAAAAAAGGAAGTGCAGGAAGTCTCTTCTGCCTCCTACAACAACGGGCTGGATGGTGAGAGCAGATTAAAGGAAATAAATGAGGACAGTGTTGGTTTGTAGGTCAGAGGGAGAAAATGTGTCAGAACAGGTGGTTTGATTAGGAGAAATGAAGGATTCAGGGGAGAAACGTCCTCACCTCCTTTGTTTGTGTCATCAGTGTGACTCTAGGGATGCATCACTCACCACATCATCATCAACCACATAGAAACGAACACATAATCTTGGAGAGGGGTGTCAAACATACGGTCCGGGGGCCAAAAACCAGCCCGTTAGCCTGTTCAATCCGGCCCACTTGGTGAAATTTAAAGTCCGGGGGCCAAAAACCAGCCCGTTAGACTGTTCAATCCGGCCCACTTGATGAAATTTAAAGAAAAAAAAATACACAAATACTTTATGTTCTATCCGGCCCACTTGATGAAATTTAAAGAGAAAAAAAATACTTCATGTTCTGGATATCTTTTGTAAAATTATATTTCATTAAGTATGAAAATAAATTAATAAATATCTAAAACAAAACTTGTACTTCGTTGCATAGAAACAAGGGGGGAAAATCATGGACTTACTGTTTATAAATTGTTTGATTTTAGTTAATCACGTTATAGTTGTACTGGTCCGACCCACTTGACATCTAACTCGGTTGTATGTTCAGACGATGATGAGTGTAACGTGTCAGAATCACTGTGGTTCTCCAGGTTCCTGTAGAACGTCTTCAGTCTCCGACCAGCAGAGCTCCTCCTCCTCACCCAGCCACAGAGACGGCAACAGCGGCGGCAAGAAAGTGGAGGTGATCGACCTGACACTGGACAGCTCCGACGATGATGACGACGATGACGACGAAGCACAGCACACGCAGCCGCCGCCCCCTCCTCCTGCCCCTCCTCTACGTCCTCCTTCAGTCAATAGAGCTTGTCCCTCCATGTCTCCCACCTCGCCGCCCATTATCAACAAAGGGTCAGCTGATGGTTTTTTTTCTTTTTTATTATTTTTATCTTTCAGAAACCAAACCTAAAGGGACGTCTGAATCCAGATCCTTTTTATGGGCAAATTAAAATTCATCAACTGCTGCTGCCTCCTTTGACCCCTGACTCCTTTTGTGTTCAGATTCTTTCTCTTCTCTTTCATGTTTTTTTTTTCACCTCTCGGGACCTGGGTCGACTGATGTACGAAATTAAAGTCTTGAGTCTGAGTCTCTCTGTGTCCGTAGGGTGTTGAACCTTCACCACCAGGCCTCTCCCGTGAGCCGCACTCCGAGCATGCCGGCGTTGGACACCAGCTACATCCCACCTGTCCCCCCACTCATCCAGGACTACAGACCCTACTACCACACCCCCAGCGACCTGTCAGGTAGAAATGATTCTGAGATTCTTTGATCTAGGTTTCCAAAAGTGAGGGTTGGGTCCCCATTTTTGGATACATATATATTATTTGTCAATAGGTGGAGAGAAATGTTTGTAACCACTGGTTTATATTTACCAAAACAAGGTGATTTATAGGTTTGTAGGTAACAAATAAACATACATAAATAAATGTGACCTGTTAGTCTTAGCAGCCGACCCTTTAGAGGGTGATGATCCTAAAAAAGCTTTTATTTTTGTAAAATAAGAGTTTTTTTTTTATTATTAGTGCAGCAAGAAATGTAATTAATGAAAATGAGCAGAACAGATTTTGTGTTTTTTCTAATACAAAATATTTTTAAAAGTTCAAAGAAATGACCCACATTTTTCTGGTCCACTTTTTGAAGTACTGACTTCTGTTGTCCTTGATTCACAGAGTTGAACTTCTTTTCTTTTCTTCAAGGGGACAGTCATCAGGTATGTACTTCACACTGGGTGGAGGTGAGTGGAGTGAGGGGGAGGATGGAGAAAACTGCTGTCCCCCTTTACCCTCTCATCATCACCCCCTCCACCCCCATCACATACATTGGCACATACCGTGTGTATAAAAATAATACATTTAATTCTCAATATTTTTCTTCTTTGAGAACAATGACAATATAAATATTTATATATATGTATGTATTTATTTATATGTATAGTATACTTATATAGACATATATGTATATATGTATAGGATTATTTAAAGTCTGGTTTTTGTCCAACATCCTACTTTTTTTTTTTGCACCTCCTCTCAAGTGCAGTGGCGCCCCCTAGGGGTTTTAATCTTTGAAAGTTAATATTGTTCAGATTGGTCCATGTTATTCTGCCTGTTAACGTTCTCCTCCTCTACCCCCACCCTCCCCCCGGGTTCAGCATTACAACATGGTGATGGCCGCAGCCGCCGCCGCGTCGGCGTCCGAGGACCACGAGTTGCTTCTTAACCGCTTCCTGCCCTACAGCACCTCCTCCTCCTCCTCCTCCGCCGCCTCACAGCTTTTCCTAGACCAATCAGGAAGCTCCCCGGCCACCTCGCTAATCGCGCAGACCAACGGGGCGAGCAGCTCAGGCAGCAACAGCAGCCTGGTGTCGTCCAGCAGCCTCCGCGACGCACACTTGACGCACTCGTCCTCGCACTCCAGTTTACACACCCACCCGGGCGTGGTGTCCAGCCGGAGCAGCGCCGAAGCAGCAGTGGCAGCTATTTATGGAGGGATACCTGACGTCATATCGTTGGACTGACTGGAGAAGAGTGGAGTCTTCACTTTGTGTTCAGCTCTGAGCAAGTGAGGATCCCACTCCCTAGAAGAAGACCCCCGACCCCCCAGAGTGAAGTCAGAGACGGACCCCCAGGTCCTTGGACTCCAGATGTTCGTGGCGTGGCGATGAGAAGACTGCCTCAAGAACAGCACCAACAGAAGGAGTCGTTGGCCAGACTGAAGGTTCCCTCCACCACACTGACCTGAGAACAGTGAGGAGTCATCATTAGCAGGGTCAGCTGGTGGACTGACTCCAGGTCAGTAACCTGTGCAGCCTGCCTCTAGTGGTTCCACCGGGTTCCTACGGCGCAGACTCGGCCTGAGAGGAGGACGTCTTTTTTTTTTCTTTTCTTTTCTTTTTTTTTTTACAAGGACTGACAGCGTGTACAGAGAACAAAATATATTTTCTTCTTTTAACTTTTATATGTAAATCCAGACTTTTTAAGTAAAGTGAGCTGCTTTAATGCTATTTTAAGTGGAGGACTGAAGGGTTTTTTATGTCCTGAGAGGCTTACGTCTACACCTTTTGCCAAATCGTTTGTTTCCGTCTTCTCTTCTTTTACCTACGTCCTGTTTAAATTATTCATTTCCGTTTCTGCAGTAGAACTTTTATCTTCCTGTCTCTGTCTCTGTAGTTCGATTCCCCCGTTATCTACTGCCTTTCCAAAAAAAAAAAAAAAAAAAGTAACCACTTTGAGGCACTCAGAGGTCGGTGATGTCTCAGTGTTTGTCACTGTCCGAAGGTTTCGGTTTCTACATCCAGTCTGAACACTGAGTTGATCTGACGACTTAAACCTCTGTTGGTCATGGTGTGGTCTATGGTGTGGTCTATGAACTGGACATGAGGACAGTGAACCAGGCTGTAAAGACAGTGAAGGTTGAACAGTGTGTCTCCAACTTCAAGGTGAAACCTTTGTCAGGTGCTGGGACTTCATACACACTGATCTGATTCTGTCATCACGAAGCACCAAAAGTGTCACAAATATAAACCAGGAACAAATGTTCCAGCCTTGTACCAACTCACAGGAACCATGTTGAGCCCCAGGGGGCGTCTTGTACCTCCTCAACTGAGTCCTAAGTCTGTGGGGGAGCCAAAAAAAAGATGCACAATTTTTAGAAAACAATACAGAAACAAACCAAAATATTGTTTATTTACAGTTTTTTTTCTAGAAAGGCAGTTTATATATTCATCTATTTTTCATTTCATTTCTGGATCTTTAGTCCATTCTTTCCACCTCATACATCAGCAAACTGAAACAGCAAACTTTTTATTTATACCTGGCAGTTTAAATGTTGACTGTTTCTTTTTTTCACCCCTTTTTTTTGCACAATGCCAAAAACCTACGGTACGTTAACAATAACTCATAGTTTGCAGTCACGTGTCACTGCTCATTCACACACACACACACACACACTCTGCTTCTGCTGATTGTACTGTGACGGTCAGACCCGTGGTTTTCTCCGACATGTTTCCGACGCCTTCAGTCATGGCTACCTATAAACCAGTGCCTGTGTGCGTGTGCGTCACACGCTGTGTTGAATCGACGTTAAAACCACGTCTCTGT